TTGAGCGATTCAACACCCCACAGCCTCCCAACCAAGAAACGTTTGGACACCAGTTTACTAGGCCACGACTTGTTCCTAGCCATGCAGTCCGTAGCAACGCTCCCAGTCCAAGTCTACGAGGCGGCCAGCGCGGCCTCGGCAACCTGTCCAAGATACACTCAGAGTTTGATGGGCAGTCTCAGCACCTGCTCTCGCCTCAGCGAAGTGCTCTTAGCGGCAGTAGCCAATCCCCAATACGACATCTCAATAACCCTGAGATCGAGCATGTGAGTGATTGGGATGATGTTGTTTCTGTGGCCGAGGATGCGAAGCTCCGAGAGAGAAGCCGTTTCTTCGACAGACACGTGAATGAGATTGTTGGTGGTATCCTAGAGAACCGTCTGGATCCGCTTGAGCGGACGTTATGCATCATCCAACAATCTCTCGACGTTCTTGCTTCGCGATCCGGCAGTCAGCGCAGGAGCGCTTCGGCTGAAGTTGTGGAGCATAGTGATGCAGATGACGAAGATGAAGATGATGACGAAGACCAGACATTCATGAAATACCGGTCCAGATCTCCCTTAAACAGGAGGGACAGACGTGTTGATAAAATCAAGCAAGCTGTCACTGAAGCGCTGGCTAGCCAGGTTCCTCGTATTGAAACTATTGCTTCACCTCTCCCGCCTCCAGTCCCAGCTCCCGTCGTTGATCTTACGGAAATTCAAAATGCGCTGGCTGAGCTGAAGACGCTTGCTGCGTCCAAACCGGTTGAGCCAGCTCCAGAGCCACCAATTGATGTCAGACAGGTCATTGTCGATGCCATTTCAGAACACCCCAAACTTAATGCACCTGTTCAATCTGTTTCGCACATCGATAACATGGAGGCGCTTAAGTTCCAAGTTGAGGGAATGCAGACCATGCTACGGGTTGCTGAAGAGCGGGCCGAGAAGGAGTATCAAACACGCAAAGATGCACAGGATTCACTTGCACAATGTCAACGGCTTCTTAGAATTGCCGAGGAAGACGCAGCCCTTCACCGCGAATCGGCTATGAAGGCTGAAGAAGCCCTCAAGGACCTAAAGGAGCGGAAACTTCCTGAAACAGAGCGGATTGAGAAACAGGCTAAGCTGCTTCAGGAACAACAGGAGAGTTTGCAACTCACTCTCTCGGAGCTGTCTGTGAAAAATATTACCCTCGAAGAAACTCTGGATGAGTACAGGGTCTCTGGAGAACACTGGCGGTCGCAGGTTGAGCAGGTTAAAAGCGAGAATAAGGACCTTAAACTTACAATCAACCATATGAAGAGGCAGATCGAGGATAGCATGGCTGCGAGACAGGGACTTCGCAAGAAGTTTGAACGGCTCCAGGAGGACATGGCCAGTGCGTCTGGGAACCTTAGTTTCTACGAGGCTACCTGGCGGAAAAAGGAAGCGGACCTACTGGGCAAGAACAATGCTCTTCGCGCAAATTACGAGCGTGAAGTTAAGTTGAGAGAAAAATTGGAGATGGAGGTTGGCGACCTCCAGCAGCAGGAGAAGGAGGCAACCAAGCTGCGTTTCATCTTCGGACAATCGCAGCAGGAAAATGCACGACTTGAGGAGCTGCTGATGACTCTGCGACAAGAAAATCACGATCTGCAAAACAAGGCAGCGCGGTTCGAGCGTGAGTTTAATGAGGCGCGCGAGAGTAGCCATGCGGAAATTAAGAGGGCGAGGAAGTCTATGGAGAGCGATCTCGACGCGGCTAATAACCAAGTTAACTACGTTCGTGCCGAGCTGGAGTCGCAAATCAACAATCTCCAGAACCAGCTGGATAGTGTCAGGCTGGATGCCGATACAGCCAAGGCGAGACACGAGCTACAACTTGAAGAAGCCACGGATGCGAAGCGGCTGGCTCTCGCAGAAGCTGCTGAGTCGAAAGAGAATGCGCTTCAGGAGCAGCGGCTCCTGCACGAGCGCGGCCTCAATGACCTCCGCGAACGCCATGCCCGGGCATTACACAATGCTTCTGAGGATCGGCAGCGCGGCGAGTCTCACTTGATGGAACTGCTGGCGCTGCGCGATGAGAAGATTGAGCATCTGGAAGACAAACTTGTCCTCGTCGAAGAGAAGCTTGAGATTGCGAAATCAGCAGCGCGCGCGGCGGCACAGGCGGCACAAAGTGCCAAGGGTGCTCCGTCCCGGCAACGCCAGACACCCAGCCAACCAACGTCGCCGTCCATGACGTTCCGCAGAGGATCTGAGATTCCCGAGAAGATCTCCCCGCAGGCGCTACGGGAGTCTATCATGGTTCTGCAGGATCAATTGCAGCAGCGCGAAGGACGTATTGAGGAGTTGGAACAGGACCTCGCAGCCATTGACAAAGATGCACCTGCGAAGGTAAAAGAGCGCGAGACGGAAATCAACTGGCTCCGCGAACTCCTTGGCGTCCGCCTGGATGATCTGCAGGATATCATCAACACCCTCTCCCAGCCAAGTTTCAACCAACAAGCCGTCCGCGATGCTGCCATCCGCCTGAAAGCTAACCTGCAGATGGAACAACAAGAGAAGGAACGCGCCATGTCTGGCGGGAATGGCAATGGCAGCCAGCAATTCTCATCGCTATCCACTCTCTCCAACCTCGCTGCCTCCCCGCGCTCCTTACCCTTAGCCGCCGCAGCGGCCTGGGGCAACTGGCGCAAAGCGCGCGAGAACTCCGTCGTCTCCGACCCACCATCCGCGAAAACCAACGCCAATGTCCCCGCCAATGACCACCGCACCCCTTCCAAGGTCTCGAGCAATAACCCACCCAGCTTCCTCTCCGGTCTCCTGACCCCACCCAGCTCAAATGTCCGCCAATCACCAGCAGCATACAGCGCCCCTGCCCCCCTGCCAATGGGTTCCGGCAGCCGCCGCACCTACTCAGAAAGCCGACCACTAAGACACTACAACCATAACAGCGTCGGCGGCAGCAGTAGCAGCACCGGTGGCCCACGCAGGCCCTCCACGCGCCAACGGGAGAAACTGCCCCAGCAGCTAGAGTTGGAGCGGGAGCCGCCGACGACGCCGCCGCTCCTGCGCCAGTCGAGCTACGACCAGGACGCCGAGGCGAGGAGCTATAATGGCGACGGGTACGGTTCGTATGGTGGTGCCTATGGCGATGATGGCGATAGTGTGATTGGAGGGGTTATTTCGGCGGCGAGGGATGGGGGAAGAGATGGTAGCGGGGATGTTGGGGATGATGGGGATGAGGATGGGCCGTTTGGGCCGTCTATATGATCGATTTGTTGTTGATTGGGTGGAAATTTTAAAAACGAAGATGGTAAGAGGGTTTGGCGTGAGAGTATGGCCCCCCTCTTTTTTTGTCTTTCGTTTCTTCTAGATCTTTCATCTCTATCCTCCAACATGTTCCTGCATCTCTACAGACCAGATTGTGTAATTTCTTTTTTTTTTTTTTTTTTTTTTTTTTTTTTTTTTTTTTTTTTTTTTTTTTTGGTTTTATATTTTTTGACATTTATCTTATTATTTCGTTTTTTACATTTACATTTTTTTTTCTTCTTCTTGCATAGCGATCGATACCTCTTCTTCTCTTTACGATTCCATTCGCTTTTTGCTCCTACGGAGCACTGGCTACTCTGCCTCTATTTATATTGTACATTAATATCCCCCGATTTCCGTTCTTCCTCTCATTTCTAATCGTTTTTCTCTTCTAACCCACCTCTTTATTTTAATCCCGTGGATTTTCTTTTTTCCGCGCCCATGCGGCAACACACCTACTTAACCCAGTCACTCACTTTTAGCAAGCAGATCTGCCGTCTTTGTCTTTCCTTAATTTATCTTCCTCGTTCTCCTTTTGTTACCTTGCCAGACAGACCATGTTGAAAAGTCTTTGCATATAATATTCTATATATGGTCCATGCCACTTTTGCGCTTGTGATTGGTTGGCTCAGGACAACGCACACCTGAAGCTCTTCCCTACTTCTTTATACCCCCCATCTTTCATTTGAATATTTTACTTTTTTGGCTCTTTGGCTTTTTTCTAAACCTTTTTTTTTCTTTTTCTAGATACCACAACACTATCTTGAATTTTTGGAACTTCTCCTTCTCTTTCTCAGTATCTGCGCTTCGAAAATCAAATTGCCATATTCTCCCCCTTTTTGCTCCGTGATTTTTTTCTCGATGATTTTGATTTTTTTTTTCTTTCCTCCCTTGGATGAGTTAACTCATAGTATAAATGAATGAGAGTTTTTACCTTCGTTTCCTATTAGATTTATCCATATACACATACATATATATTTCTTATAACCTTCCAACAGAAACGAGAACCACAGAGCTAACAATAATCTAACACTTGATAAAAACCCCATTGAACTTTTGTCGCTTGATCTCTATTTCTGCGCGTCTCTGGATGTGTGTCTGTGTTCGTAGAACGAAGCTATATACACACAACCCAACCCCTCGACTTCATATGACTTTTGACATGAAAAAGGATCGCGAGGCAGAAAGGAATCAGTCGAGTGATAGGGGTATGGTATGGGATGGGGGGTTGAACCGTTGCTGAAAGGGAGAGGAAAGCGGGTGCTCGCCATATTTGCCACAACTCAGCCAAGCCATTTTTTTCTTTGCGGAAATGATGGCCCGGCGAGGTGAGAATTAATTAGTAAAAAAAACATTTGGCATGGAGGGAGCCATGCTTAGAAAAAAATGGATTATTATGGCTGGCTATCTGGCTATTATCAACAACGGTTTATTTAGTTGGCCGCACCAAAGCATGGAGTAGACTATGCAATACCTTGGCGTCTCCTTTGGAGCTAGGAATTCTTCAATAAATCAATCAATCAATCAATTAACCAATCAACCAACCAACCAACGCACGCTTGCTCTATTTCTTCTATGAGAAAGGGGGGTATCATAAAAAGAAAAAAAAAAAATCCAGAAAGTTGAAGAAACCAATCCCATCGAAATCAATGCAGAAGTTTCGCCGGTGCCAATCTAAATAGGTAGGTATATTGCCAAAGTTAAATGTCGTGTGTGTGCCTGTTTTTGCTGGCTGTTGTGGTATATGGAGACTGGTGGACCAAGTCAATCTCCAGTTTCAGGATTACGGAGGTGGGTGAATCTCTTCTGAGAAAAAAAAGAAGAAAGAAGAAAGAAAGAAAGAAAAGAAAAGAAAAGAAAAAGGGAAATAGGAAAGCAAAAGTGAAGAAGAAAGAAAGTTAAAAGGAGGAAAGAAGCCAAGAAACGATCTTTCCACAAAAACCCAACCCTTTCCACCCTCCCATCCCACCACCCTTTCTTCCCACTTCACCCATTATCCCCAGCAAACGTAAAAATCTCCCGAAGCGCCCAGTACTTCAACCCCTCGACGGGATGCTTATGCACCTCCGCCAAAAGCACACCCGCAGCAACAGCAGCATAGTGCTCCATATCCAAAACCTCCTCGACATCCTTCATCCTGATGGGGTGCATAGTCTTGCCGCACTCCGCGTCCATATTGGTGAGAATGACGGGGTCGATATCGTCTAGCAATTCGATTGGCTTGGGCACGAAGGGGTCCAGTGACTGGTCCATCTTTGTGGGCCCCGTATGGCCTGCGTACATGGGTGGTTGTGGCCATGTGTTTTTCTTCTGTCGGGCAAGTTTCTTCTGCAGGAGGTGCTGGAAATCGTGGTTTTGGTCATCATCTTCGTCGTCTGAGTCTTCGATGATCGCTTCTGTTGCAGCTTCCTCTTCTTCAGTTAGACGGCCCTGGCTGCGCAGCATGTACTCCTCGTCTCGTTTCTTGTAGTATCCCGCCCAGTCGCCCGCTGTAAGGAGAGCGCAGCACCCTGTTAGAGCAGAAAGGCCGAGAACTTCCCTCCGGTACATTTTTATATGCTTAACTTCGAGCTTCTGGGCCTGTACTCGGATGGTAGATATTGGGGGCGTGGAGCTCTTGCCATCCAAGAAGGATCTCAGAGTCGTTAGCCCGCGGGCTATCTTCTCCCGGGTTTTCTTCATTGTTTCTGGCAATGTCGTGTGGGGGAGGAGTGGCTTCAAGATGGGGAAGAAAGCTTTGGAAGCGGGTCGCATGCCTGCTCTCCTCGTTAGTTGGTCAAATGGGTTGGCTTGGGAGCATGGAAGTAGGAGTGGCTCTGCGTCAATGGATGTATCATGTGCACCTCCGCATTCGAGTTGGTCAGTCGTCGTTGGCTGCTTTGGAAATTCACGTTCGGCTCTACACCCAAGGCGCGGTCGGCTACGGCAATTTACCCGTCTCATCCATGCCTCATATTGCTCGCGGCGGCGGACCGCTGCATACTTTGCGGCCACGATCTGGTCTCCGAGTGTGTCTTTCCTCTTTTCTTCCTTCTCTTCAAAATAGCAGCGTATTTTCCAGTGCATCTTCCAGGGCCTAAGTCTTATCGCCTTGTCCCCATCGAATTTGATTGGCTTGCGTTGCCCGTTGATTGCGCAGACTGACCTATGTGCTGTCGGGGTTGGTTGTCCGCTATCCGCCTCATGCGTCAAAAGGAATGATGGTGGCACATCATCACCGTGGTGCGAGATGCCATCTTGTTTTTCTTTGCCCTTAGTATCAAGTTCTGTTGACTGTTCCAAATCGTTATCACAGACCACGTCCTGACAATTCGTCCTTTGCACTACAGAAGAGGGATCGCAAGACTCAAGGGCACATTCATCACTATCATCCACAAAAATCACTGGCAGCTTCCGTATGGGAGAACCAACTGGCCCAGGAACGCATAGTTCTTCGTCTTCATTGAAGACAGGAGACAGTCGCGCCACAACACCAGTGGCCCTATACATATCAACCGCGAAACTTAGAGAAGACTTCACAGTGCTCGAATTGGAGAATCCTCTCGCAGGAATCCCCTCTGCCTTACCCACGATAAATCCACGGCAACGTTCTGGTTTCTTATCCAACAATCGATCATTGTCAGGTCTTGAATATAGGCTATGCCAGCCCGGATAACCAGCTAACTTGTCAACATTGGACTTGGCAAAGGGAGCTAGGAATGATAAACTCTGAAGAATGAGTTCCTCAGTCCACTCTTTTGGGGCGTCTTTTGCATGATGATATCGGCCAATTCCAGCCATCGCATAGGAGGGACCAGAGCGAGCTGTGTAATACGAATGGTTAGGTTAGGAACTCGCTCATCGCAGTATTGGTGGGGTTGGGGGTATAGGCAAACATTTTTGTCTACTTCGTCTTGCATCGCCTGATTAAATTGGTGTCAGTATCCAAATTTGCGCGCCCAATAGAGCTATCAAGGTATTTTACTCACCGTTACGCAGTTTCCCAGCTCCATTCCCAGCTCCCTCTTCCTCTTCATCGTCCGACGGCCTATCATTAAGCGACCCATTCTCCTCTAGCTCCCTGAAGAACATATCCCACTCTTCTTCAACGGACGTGCAAACTGTACTGCTGTTGCGTCGCGTCGGTACATTGGATGACTGGATATCATCGTCAATGCCAGTTGTTGGACTACTAGAAATCTCTGCCATCGCCTCCTCCCATGCCCGCGCGGAAAGCGCATGTGCTTTCTCAAGTCGCGACATATGCAACCTCTCGGCAAGGCCTCCACGCACGGTAAGCTAGTCGTCGCGGTATATGTAAATGAAGAAGTCAGGGAGACGGGGGCACGTACCTCTCCCAACACACTTGTCCAGCAGTTTATCCCACACACTGCTTCTGATCACCGACGTGTAGCGCTCAAATGCGCCTTCCAGGGTTAGAGATGACATCTCAGTAGCATTAGCAGCACTACATGTGTATGATAACAAACTGAAAAGAGATTGTTATATAGAGAATAATGCCATTCTTTTCAGAAACAAAGCCAGGAACGGAACTGTCTAATCAACTGAAAGGAGGAAGAATTTGAAATGAAGGAAAGGAAGACATCCAAAGGGTGAGCACAATAGAGGTCAAAAACTGCACAGGAGCTAGCTAGATGTAGGTAAAGGGTTTATGTCGCCCAGTGATAAAGTCCGGACTGTCTGTGTTCAGGAGGCTCGGGGCTGGGAAACAGCTAGGCCATGCAAGAAAACATGTGCATGAAAGGGATATACGTTTAAAGGAGAGAGAAAACAACAGGTTTGTATATATAGTAGAAATGACTAAAGGTCTACTATATATCTGAATACCTGTAGAAGATGTAGAAGTATAAGAAATAGAATCAGCACAACTAAGGTTATATAGAAAAAAGGGCTTGATGCGGTTGGCCAGCATCGAGATCAGGAGGAGGCCTTAGAATAATGGACTGTCCTTGAGATAGTCTCTCAGAAAGAGTATATGTGTTGCTGTAGTATTCACACGCCATCTCTTTTTAAGAGGGCCATAGTTTCCCCTCAGTCTATTCACCGAGTTTCTGATAAAGGGAGAGAGATGTTTGATATCAACAATCACAGGATCACAATTTAGTGACCATATGCAAATGGAGACAATGTTTAAATAATATTAGAAAAAAACAATGTCATCCATTGCATACCAGTTGACTGCTAGATTTAGTAGAGTCCCTTCGATACAGAGAGTATCGATACCTGGCCATGACCCCCAAAGCAGCGGACGGACGATGCTGCCACAAAGGGGTAGATAGATATTCCAATGCGCCCGCCCATTCGGCCAATGAGGCACAATATTAAACATGTAGAAATAAAGGCTATAATAGATAGACCTTCAGAGAATATCTCTTGCGGATTGAGGCCCTTCTTTTGACTTATAGCTGTCTTCATTTTCCCCCGTTGTGCTTGCTACAAGAATAAAAGTGAACACAAAGGAAATAGAGATGTTACGTGTCACCTACACATGCACCATTAATCTTTCTCTATCTCCTCTCACCAATTGTCCGCTCTAGCATCCTGTTGATGCTGATGTTGATGCTGATGTTGATGTTGATGTTGATGTTGATGTTCTATCTGATGACGTTGGGATAAAGTTCGTCAGCGCCAAGCCATCGCCTTCTTTCCACCAACAATCACGTCATTTCAGCACTGTTTTCTCGATCTATATTAAATAAATATCTATTACATTTCCCCTTTTTCCCCTCCATTGTAAAACACCTCATTTCTCTCTCTCTATAAGATACCCGTATTCTATATCCTAGCCAAGGACATATCCATATCCCTTCTATTCTCCTTCTTCCGGTTCAAGTTTGTCGGAACGGATCACCATCTTCTACCCCGCGGCGGGCAGCCAACCCCTCCAATAATTCATCTCGATGACGCTTATAGAAGAAGGGAACTCATACCAACAACCTCAAACCCTCAATTGATATCAAACCCCAAATCATAAGCATGGCCACGTATGCATCCCTTACTCTCCCAATGCTTTAACCACCCCATACATACCCATCCCCCCCTAACCCACACCCAAAAAAAAAAAAAAAAACAGCAACATAACCTACCACCCCCCGCACCTAACCCGCGCCGAGCGCACCGCCCTCCGCAAACAACAAGGCCTCACAATCTGGCTAACCGGCCTCTCTGCCTCCGGCAAATCCACCATCGCCGTCGAGCTCGAACACCAGCTGCTAACCCACTACAACGTCGCCGCCTACCGCCTCGACGGCGACAACATCCGCTTCGGCCTCAACAAGGACCTCGGCTTCAGCGAGGCAGACCGCAACGAGAACATCCGCCGCATCGCAGAGGTCGCGAAGCTGTTCGCCGACAGCAACACCATCGCCATCACCTCGTTCATCTCGCCGTACCGCAAGGATCGGGAGACCGCGCGCCAGTTGCATGCGGCGGCGATACATGGCGAGGAAGGCGGCCAGGGGTCCTCTGGTTTGCCGTTTGTAGAGGTCTATATCGATGTACCCGTTGAGGTGGCGGAGCAGAGGGATCCGAAGGGGTTGTATAAGAAGGCGCGCGAGGGGATAATCAAGGAGTTTACGGGGATTAGTGCGCCGTATGAGGCGCCGGAGAAGCCTGAGATTCATATCAAGAGTCATGAGGTTGGGATCAAGGAGGCAGTTGCGGTGATTATTGAGTATTTGGAGGCGAAAGGGTATTTGCCCGAACGAGCCGTGCAGAATTAGGGTTGTTATTGTTCTAATCTCTCTCTCTCTCTCTCTCTCTCTCTCTCTCCTTTTTTTTTTTTGCTAGATGGTTCTATTTTCGGGTTTACGGCACGGGTGACATGCAATGCATGGAGCTGGCATGAAAAATTATATACCAACTATAGAGAATCATGAATTTATCATGTGGTGAATGATATGCAAGGATATTGTATAAGAGAACAGGGAGAAGAAAAAAAGGAGAAAACGACTCCATAAAATCATATAGTAGAGTAGAATCTTTTCATGAAGAGATACACCTGCTCACGAGCAAAACTAACAAGAGCAAAAAATATCCAAAGAGCAACTCGAGTGAAAATCAATGAAAAGGGGATTCTGACTTAGAGAGGGCTTCCAAAATATTAGATCACTTGTATGTGAGAAGAAACAAAATAGAAGCTCAGGTTGTAAATGTATTAGTTGAACACTCTGATGACTTCATACGAGTATCGCATCTCCCATACGGAGTATACTATGACAAAAAAAATTGAAAAAAGGGAAAACAAAACAGGAGTGTGCAAGGCACTATGGTGAAAATTACAGCAGATGTTAAAAAACAGGAAACAAACAAATCGCATGCGATATATAGGGCAGGCCAGCAACATATCATTCGTCCTCTTCTCTTCTGAATCAATCATACGCTGAAGATTTCAAAAAATGGACAGAGTTAAAAAAAAAAAAAAAGTAGAAAGAGATATGCCACCCGCAGAGGGAAGAGGGGGGGGGGGGGGGTTTCATTCAAACTCCATCTCGTAATATACATAGGCAGTATACTCGCCTGCTCCGCTCTCGCCCGCACCACTGACATGCTGCATGTCCAACGGATCATCCTTTCGGACACGACCTTTCTTATCACGTCCAAAGGCGTTGCCCGCTAGGTATGAATATGAGTTGTCAAGGAGTCTCTTCACTTTTCGTGCTTGTTTATTTGTGGTCTGATGGATTGTTTTTTAATTTATTTGTTTTGGTCTTTGTTAGCGTTTCATGCGTAATAATCTCCGCGGGGAGCGGGAGGGAGAAGAGCGCGGGTAAAGAGCATGTTGCTTGCGATCGGAAGGTTACAAGGAGATAAGAATGGTGCATGAAAGAGGTTCCGGGAGAGGAGGTTCCAGGAATTGATCACAAAACGGGAGGGGCAGAGCGGCCCGCTGCCCGCATTGAGCAGGTTGAGGGAGGGTGCAGCAAGAAAAAAAAAGAGATAAAGCAACCAACCTTTATCAACGCACAGACAAAGTCCAGCGGCAGCCCATATCTCAACACCGTCTCCACAAACACCCTCAGAACAAGGACATGCACCCAGACCATCACGGCCTCGCTCCACCCTGTCGTCGCAAGCCGCAGTGTCTCCCCCCACAGCCTCCGCGCATCTGCATTGGCCTGGTCTAGATCTCTCCGCTCCTTCTCCTCGTCGCCCTCCACATACTTGTAATCTCGAGGTGTCCACCTGTGCTCCCGGCACTTATGGATGAATTCAGCGCTATGCTTTTTGAACGTCGTAACAGCGTAGAGGGTCGATTCGTCATCTGAGGCAACCAAGGTTGAAGAGCGCGGGACGACCATGGGCGAGATGGTTTCGTATGTTCGTAGGAATTCCTTTGTGCTCCGTGAGGGGACGGCGATTAGATGGGTTTCGAGGTATTCGGAGTCTTGGACGAGGACGCGGGGGTCGACAATAGATGCAAGTGATTTGGTGGATAATGTGCCCCTAGCAGCAGAGTATCAGGATACAGTTAAAACAAAGTGTGCAGGTTGTTACCTAAGGTAGATTTTGTTTTCATACGTTTGTTTCCGTTGTAGCGCAGCCAGTGTTGTTTTGCCTTGGTTGTATTGTGAGAACTTGGCCCGAACGTCATGGTCGATGCTTGCAGCTTCCTAAGCATGAGGGAGAACGTTCATCAGAAAGAAAACGGGTCTGAAGAACAATCAAGCAAAAGGCCGACTATTTCCATACCTTCTGTAGCAAATCTATCAATTCCGCCAATGACTTCTCCGCCCGATATTTGACCTTGTTCCATTCAAACGTCCTTAGATACTGCTCAACGGGTACTAGCGAATTAAAATAGACAAGAAGTCGGGTAAGCCACGGGGTAATAATAATACAGCGCAAAACAAAAAAGAACGGGGAGAGAAAGAAATATCCACCACCATACTATCATTAACCATCTTCATATTCGAAATCCGTTCCTCATCGCCCTCCAGCACATTCTTCAGTGCCTCTCCCACCTTGCCCACCACACCCTGGCACAGTGCTTCCAGCCTCGCCAGTTCATCCGCCTGCTGCACCAACGCATCTAGCGTCCCGATTTTGAACTCCGGGATCGCAAAGGGAATCACCGCGCCGTTATCTGAGGTGACGGTCTTGCTGATAGCTTCGAGGGCATCGTCGCGATGGTGGGACGGGGTGATGGAGCTGGGGAGGGAAAGGAGGATGTATTTGGGTTCCTTGGACATTATCTATAGTTATGAGAAATCCGTAGCCGCGCTTCTTTGGGTTTTTTTCTAGGAGGCGGGCATGGGATGTAGGGGTGGTAGGCTATCTTCCTTTTCGTCCTTGGTGAGCGGAGTTCCAAGGTTGTTGTTTTCCGATGTTATCGGCATAGATGTTTAGGTGCGGTCAATGGCCAGCGTGTGGGCCAATCACGTTGCAAGGCGGTCAGGTGCAGATGGAGTACGGAGTACATTCTCAGGGAGAGATCTATATCATAAGCCTACAACAAGAACAATTTATTTATGCCACTTAAATGCGCTTTGATAAAATTCTAGGGGATTCTATCTTCGATGAAGCATATTTCAAGCTATTGTAGAGCCTCTAAGTTACTCATAGTTTTTCCATTAAATGTAGCATTATGTGTAATAAACCGCAACAGGACCACCAGAAGTGGTCCTTTTTGGGGATTAAATTCCTTTTCCAAAAGAAGGGAGCAAAAAAATGGGAAAAAGAATCATGTAATACAAAAAAAATCAAATAATTAGCATGCCCATATCTAAATAAAAATGGTGTTAAAAAAAAAAAAAAAAAAAAAAAAAAAAGTAGGAAGTAGAAAGCAACGATGACAAAACAGTAGTCTAATGCATATCAACGCCCTCTTTCAGGGGGGAGAAAACAAGGCAGCAAAAAATGTGGCGGCTATATCTAACTGCAATCTTTTGAAAAGCCTTCCGTATATCAAGACAGACAGATCAACAAAATCTATCATGGTGGAAAGGAAATGCACAAAAAAAGCAACCATCAGTGTTTATGTTGCTTTATAAAGTCGTGGAAGAGACTGTAACATTAAGTTAGTAAAACGATCCAAGACAAGCAGTTGTGACACCCCCCCCCCCCCAAAAAAAAAAAAAAAAGGAAAAAAGGAGAGGGACAGAAACGAGAAATAGAACAGGATCACATACAGCAGCATTCTTCGGCTCAATAAACAACGCCTTCGCCTCGGCTACGACAACAGGTTCCCGCCCTTCATCAGGCAGCGTCTCAATCCGCCCCTCAACCCACGCCTTGCGCCCTTCAACCTTCACCGTCTCAGCGCGGACAACGAAAAACGACCCCGCCGGCGCCGGGCTGCGGTAGTCTATGTTCAAATTCGCGGTGACGCCAATGCCATTGGGCAGAGCGGGGAAACAGCACCTGGCAAGAGATTCGTCGAGAATAGTAGCAAGTAGTCCGCCGTGCACAATACCCGGGTGACCAGAGACGTCCGAACCCAGATATAAGATGGAGACAAGGCTTTTGCCGCCCGCCTCTGTCCAGGCGTAAGGGGGTACAGCGATTTTCTTGGCCCCTGCCAGAGTTCCCGCGGTGAGGTTATGGGCGCGCAATTCCGCTGGAATCTTGAGGTGGGGTCGCGACTCGGTGAAGCGCTCATCCGTTCGCAGGGAGTGGGCTAGAGGGTGGTTGTGGATGAAGGCATCGATATCTCGCAGGATATCATCGGGGGCTATGTAGATGGATTCGTCGTCGGTGCGGATTTGGGTAGCGATCTGGACCATGTTGGATACGCCGGGGCTAAGTGAAATTCCAACGGTGAAGGAGAATACGGCGATTGCGGTAAAGCCTAGGAGACGGCGGAGTATCGAGGGCTTTTTGAATGAAGGAGGGGAAGGAAAAGGAGGATGCGGCGGCTGGGGAGAAAGTGGGCCGGTTGTCTGGACTATATATATGCATCCGCAGACAGCGTCAGTCTATGGTTTATTTACTGAATTGATTGAGTTCATTGTCTCTCCTCGGTGATAACAAATGGGAAGAGGGCAATGGACTAAATAGAAAGTTTACATTATTTTTAATCTCGACATACCTGAATACGGTCTATATGATGACGGATGGGACAGCCGGGCTACAAAAAGCGAGCGGAACAAGGAAGCCCCGGAAGAAGAAGAAGAATAAAGAGAGACAGGGAAGGACACGTGCTGCTTTGACGGAGAGATAAGGAAAATGAGGTTGCCTGAAGAAAAAACAGGACGAGAGCGGGACGGAACCATATTTGGCAGCATAAACGGGCAAAGAACTCCCCAGAGGCCGGCGGGGCAAAGACCAGACCGGTTTCCCTTTCAGCACCCAACCCCTAGATATAACTAGATGGGCTCAACAAGCTGAAAGAAAACAACAACCCAGGCGGACCGGATGCAGCAGCGCGGGCGGCGAGCCTAAAGACAAGTAAATAGGTAGTAGGAAGGAAGGGGGGCTATGAGTTCCACTGACTGATTATTGTCAACAGTACGGAGTAGTTCCAGTACAGTACTAGTTACCCAGTACTAATCTATCCAGCATGCAGCGCCGGCCGGTATGAATTCAGCTTTGCAGACAGCAATCAAGCGCCAGCTCCGGTGTCTTTCGCAGCGGCGGGCGAACAAGGGCGGGCAGGGTTCACGATCCCAGGAACCGCCGGGTTTTTTTTGTTGGGCGCAAGGTCAGGTCAAGGTTGTTTGTTGTGCCGAGGTCCAATTTTTGGCGGAAGAAGCTCGGAGCTAAAACACGCCGCGCTTTGGCAGAAACTATACGGAGTATCAATAATCAAGAAGTCATTTCAAACCACAGGGAGATTAGATTCCTGGCTTCCTGGCTTTATTAAACTGTTTTCACTGGGCGAATGTACGATATACGATAGATGAAACGCAATACTGTCCGAAGTAGCCGATTTATTATTCCGCCCAAAGTATACTTTTTGTGTTAACGTCCGTATCTTCACGGCAAAGACTCTACATATACCTACGCACCCTATTGGAACAGCTGAAATAGGAGAACAGACAGACAACCAGGTCTCTCCTCCTCTTCTTCTTCTTCTTCCTCATCTACCTTAAGCACTACTGTACAGACGGTGAACTGAGTAGTAAACACCAGTTATGGCTTGCTCCTTTCTTTGTAGTTCCTGGAACTTGCATACAGGGAACGCTGGAGATCTTGCATAGAAGAACTAAAAGCTCTGCAGACAGGTACGCAGTACTCAAAGCGGGATAGATAGAGGTTATTCATTAGAAATAACACTTACAAAGAAAGGGAAAGGGGGTACAAAAGGGACAAGAAAAAAAAAAGAAAAAGAAAAAGAAAACGAGGAACGTGGGACTCGAACCCACAATCTTAGCTTAGCTTGGTCCCGGACTTCCTCTTTGACAAGGGGAAAACCATTGTCCAATCATAGGAGAGCTACGCATTACCCTTCTGCCAGTCCCTCAAGGCTTGGCTTTACCGCTACGCCACTAGGGCTAGGTAAGAGTTGCCGGAACTGACACCTCGCGACCTACAAAGGGTCACCCCTGTCGACGACAACCTCTCTATCACCAACTGCAATCCAAAGTAAACTTCTAAATAATAAAATTATCATGTGCATAATCAGTCATCTACCCTTTTTTTTATTCTGATATATATATATTATGTATATACGTTGGTCTACGCGCTCTATATTATATATGCATCTCGCTCGCCAGGTTCCCAACCAGAGCCCTCCAAAAGCAAATGCCAGATGCAAGGGCAGAAATCAGACGAACAAATAAAATAAATAGAAATATATAAATAGAATAAAGAACATACGTAAATCGTTTGGATAAAATCCAAAAAGCGTGTATCTAGACCAAATCATAGAAAAAGAAACAATGGGTGAACATATCAAGTATATATTAGTCGGGGTATGTATAAGAAAGAAACAAACAAGCGAGAAATGAGGGAAAGATACGGAGTATAGAAATATAAATTCGGGCGCGACTACCTACCACTGTACTTAGCCTCACCTTTTTCTAGCCAAGGACTTGGAAACCCGGCGGTTCCGTTAGTTAGCGACTGAGGCTAATAACCTTCTTTGCCGCTTCCTCAAACGAGTCGAATGCATGCAAAGGCAGTCCGCTGTCGGCAATCTAAATTTATCCACGAAAAAAAATTCCGCCGGTTAGTCCTGGTTTACATCCACCATAATAAATACCGACACGAGAAGGAAGGAAATGGTAAATAAAAAGGGCGCCGTGACACACCATTTTCTGCCCAAGTTCCTCATTAGTGCCACGTAGGCGGACGACGACAGGCACTTTCATATCCAGGTCGCGGAAGGCCATGATGATTCCGTTGGCGATCATATCGCCGAGCGTCAGGCCGCCGAAAATGTTGACGAAGATGGTTTTCACGCGCGGGTCGGAGAGGATGATGCGGAATGACGACTTTATGGTCTCGGACGTTGCTTTCCCGCCCGTGTCGAGGAAGTTGGCACAGTGGCCACCGTGATGGGTCAAAGCATCGACTGTGTTCATGGCGAGGCCGGCACCGTTGACTGTAAAAGAGGTAAGGGATTAGGATTTTTCTTTTTTTCCTTTACTTTACTTGCGCTCTAGGTCAATGGGTTATACGGAGAAAGTGGGTTAGCCTTACCAAGTGTACCGATGCTTCCTTCCCCAGCAAGCCTGTGATGGCTGTTGTTAGAGGTCTGCTCGGACAAAGATATTTGTGGGCTTAGAGGGGTCGTACTTGACATATACAATACCCTCATTCTCAGCTTCGACTTCCTCCGGGACCTCCTCCGCTTTGTTTCGCAGCTTATGAATATCTTCCTGCCTCTTAGAACTTTTGAATGCGGCATCATCGAAGCCGAATCGGGCTCCATTAATTTGAAAACTACCATCACTACCCACAGAGACCATTGTTTCCAGCACAAAAGCCTCCTTGTTCATAAAAATATCAAGCAGATTTTGTGCGAGCTTCGCAAGAGGCTCTAGAGATGACTCTCCAAGGTTGAGATGGCTTGCTACCGCACGGATATTAGCCTGGTCGGGAGTGAATTGCGTGCGACCATATGTAAAAGAGAATTTTCTAGAAAGAGAGACCTGAGTTGCCGGATTAGTGGTCGGAGAAGCCAAAATACACGGTGAGCGTGACTTCCGATCTATCACAATTCCAAATAAGAAATCAGAAGCTTCATTCGACTCGCCAATCGCAACACCCTTTTCTTTTAATAGATCGAATGACTGGGATTGCTTAAGATAAAGGTTTCTCCGTTGTGACATCATATGCTGCCTTTGAATGGTCGGCCGACGTAAAGTGTGGAACCCCCTTTGCTGTCTTGAAACAGCGGCGGAAGCGGCCTATGCCTTAACTGTTAGTGGGAGCAATTATGCATGACTAATATTTTCAGACGTTGGTCAGGTACCTGAAGTGCAGGCCGTGCGCTCATGTTGCCTAACAACATTTTCATTCCCTCGCCAAAATTCTCTGGATGGTTTACCATGACGGCGCCGGCATCTCGTAGCGCTCTGATCTTGGTTTGTGGATCAGGGTCTCCCGGAGCGGCCCAAGCGCCTGCATGACCCATGACTCGGCCTGGAGGCGCATGAATTCCGCCAACCACAGCCATAATAGGTCTAAATACTCATTATTTATTAGTAAAGGTAACATTTTGACGGGGGAGCGCGTGGGTTTCCATACTTTGGGTCTACAGTGCGTCTGCGGTAGTCTAGAATCCACTCTGCAGCATCAATTTCAGCTGCTCCTCCAATTTCTCCAACAATGATGATACCGTGCGTGTCCTCGTCATGCTCTAAAATCTTCAGCGCATCAACGAAGTCCGTACCAGCTAGAACATCTCCTCCAACGCTTATGCAAAGGCTCTGACCCAATCCAGCACGTGTCGTTGATGCAACGGTTTCATAGCCAAGGGTTCCGGACTTGGCGACAATCCCGATATTACCGGGCGAGAAACAGGGAAGAGGCTGGAATCCGATTCGACATTTACCAATAGCGGAAATTATACCAGGACAGTTGGCGCCAACCAGGCGGGATTTCGATTGCGTTTGAAGCATTGCATGTACCTAGTGGTGCCCGGTCAGAAAATCCGAAAATAAATGGGTCAGTGGCCGGGTAATCCCCACTCGAAGCATATCATGAACGGGAACATGCTCTGCTACCGCCACGATGAGAGGAATCTCTGCCGCGATAGCCTCTTCGATAGCCTGTGCCGTTTGTGGGCCTGGTACGTAGATGGCAGTCGCATCTGGTTTTGTTTTTTCTTGTGCCTAATATTGGTTACGCGAGTCAGTGGCATTTCCCACGCACCAAATTTCCAACATAGAATAACCACATACCACTTGTACTGATGGGAAAATAGGTAGCCCGAGGTGTTCACCTTCCACTCCTGGCTTTACGCCGCCAACGATCTTGGTGCCCCATGTCAAAGACTCTTTCACATTCGCGGTCGCCTGCAGCACACTTTAGCCGGCGTAATCTCAAGAAGAGTCGTTATTGCAAATAGTAATTACCTGTCTGCCTATTATTCAAAATCTCAGCTGCTGTTTATGTACAACACATAGGCTAGAGCCCAATAAAATATAGAATAGAGCCCAAAATTCTATAACCAAGGCAAAAGATGTATATACAACATCAAACATACCTGTAAACCCCTGGAAAAGGACCCTGGTATGTGCTCCAATTTTCAGGTTAGGAAGAGTATCAGCATAGCTCCCAGTCCGTAATGACGTTGAGAATTGGGAATTTAGACATTGGCCAATTCGAGCAATAGATGGTAGATGGAGGCGGCACGATGCCAGTGAAGCGGTTATGGAGTTGAGAAGCATGGCTCATAACAGCCGAGATTCGCCAATGGTCCACGTTTGTCACTGGATGCGCTCTCAAAGTTCGAAATCCGGGGCTTTTTGCGACAAGAGGAGGAACGAACAGGAAAAACAGCTGGATTTCCGGTAGTTGCAACCCAAGAGGCAAAAATGAAATGAGAGGAGCCTCTATTTATTTGGGACAGGGGAATTTATCAAAAAAAAAAAGAAAAAAGAAAAAAAAAGAAAGAAAGAAAGCGAGTGAACTGAACAAACTGGGGGGGAATCAAGGTATGATAATGCAAGGTATGATAAATTACCAGATGCATATATACAAGTGGAGGCGGCTTCTCCACACAAGTTGTCAAGCGAAACGCATGCTAGGACCGCACCTCGCCGTGATTTGTGCGAGGTGGAGGTCAAGCTCCGAGAGTGGGTACTATGTTAGCCGATGCTCGGGAATGGTCGAGAAGAGTCCGCAGAAAAGAGCAAATAATAATAAGTGGTGCCGGATGATGTTAGAAGTGCATTCATAAAGTTCCGGCCAGGCTTGCGTTGAACCCGGTAGCGCAAACCAAAAATCTTTGAGCGTTCACTCGTGCTAAATGGGGGTCTATGTACATTACTATGCAGCTCGCCCCAAGTTTCGCGCCTGTAGCTATGCTCTGGTATAAAAGGTTGATGCTGAGAGACTACCGAGCTATTTTGCCCATGTGCTTGGTGGCAGAGGCTGTTTGGAACATGAACTTTCCACGCTATTTTAATAGCCTCGGGATTGAGCCGAAAGCCATTCATACGGACCCTACCCTGAGCCCTAAGTTCTGGGTCAGATCGGACTCCCGCCGTAGCAATTCCCAGGCAAAGAGGGGAAATGGATGATGGGCTACAGACATGTAGCCCAGCTGTGGTTGGAGGTTTGAGACAAGCAACGAAACGTTCCACTCGAACGACATGAGCTCAGAATACGTGGACAGCCGATTTATGCGCGACCATGAAGAAACCAAGGAGTTTGTAGATCTTCCACAAGGGACAGGCAAAGTCTCCGTCTCTTATGTATAGGGCTGTGTCTTTCTCCTTCACACAACAGAGTCCTGGCTCGCTGTTTACCTAAGCATGATTGACAAAAACGGCTAGACTACACGTGATGGATTACACGTGATTAAAGGTCTTGGCATGAGATTATGTAATGTGACGAACAAAGGGGGGGAGCAAACTAGCGGGGAGCGAGGAGTGGCGAATGTTCACCGGCGACCTACTATATAGTGTGTACATTCATACATCTGTATACAGCGTACACCGGTTGATGCGGGTGAGGCTGGTCAGTGCTGCTTACAATGGCTGAATCCCATTCTAAAGGCATGTATAACACTCGCAAGTCAAAACCAGCAAGGCAGCGGAGTCTTTCTTGAAACCAAATTTTGGAAAGATTCTAACCAACAAATGCAAAACAGAAAGAAATGAAGCAGATGCCAAAGCCCTCCTCCACGCCTCCTTCAAAAACCTCTCCATAAACACTGACCCCACCACTAAGAAAACCCCACCCAGGAAAAAATCCTCTCCCGTCACAGAATCATGGGAAGACGAGCCCCTCTCCTCCCCATCGTCCTCCTCAGATGAACATGAAGACGGCATAACCCCTCCGGCCTCCGCAACCCTAAGATCCCCAATCACCACAACCACCACCTCCTCCTCAACTGGCAGCAGCACCCCTTCCTCCCAGGTACAGGCCGGCACGCATGCTCCCCCTCCAACCCCTATCTCCCCACAAAACAGCTCCCTACCACGCTGGGTCCCCGACCTTCCGTCCGCCTGTAACAGTATCCCGCCCCCACGCCATGCCGCTTCCACTCCCTCTCCACCCTCCGGTATGGAAAGGAGACCGGAAAAACAGACTGCCGTCGCGAGTCGTATGATCGCCGGCGCACTGGGGATACGGGCTCCCAAACGCACGGAGGAGCAGAGGGCGTATGATCGGGCCATGAGGGAGAAGGAGGCGAAGCGGAGGGAGAGGGAGAGGGAATTGGCGAATATGAGGCGGATGGAAGAGGAGAGGGCGAAGGCGGCGGTTTGGGAGGAGTAATCTGGAAGGATTTATATACATATATATAAACTATCCGTGTATGCTTGTATTTTTATTTTTTTTCGGGGATCCTGGCATTTATGTCTCATCTTTTTCTTTTTTACATTTTGCGGGGGAGTTTAGTCTTGGATAGTTATGGTTCTTTTGATATATGATTGGATAGATATATCCATCTTATTGCCTTTGTCATGGTTTGTGGCGGTAATAATAACTGTTAATCTAATTAACTCACGATTTATTCTAACATTACCAACCATTCCCTAGTTTTTGTAACTGTAGTTACATATAAATTTTATCTTGTGTTTACGGGAAAGTTCTGTTGGTAACCGGTATATTTTTTCCTTAAAAAAAAAAGACTTCACTTAGCATAGTTCTCCTAGTGTATGGATATGGGCACCAAGGTTGTATGATCTTAACTGGACCGCAAGAATGGATGAAATAGGATGCTAAAGGCACAGAAAGTAAATTAGATAAGCAAATATGTGTACCGGCGGTTTATTATCTCTCGCCACTAATTACATTTCCTTTTCATTCCATGAGAAATTCCCAAATGTCTCCTCCCTAAGATCGAATTATCCTCCCTCCACTGCAGTTCGAATACGACGTCACCAGCCGGGACCAGCGGAAAAGAATTTAATTAGAAAGCGCTAAATCACAGGAACATGCGCAGAAAAGCAGAGCGGGGAAGGATGGGCACAAGCAGCACGTTCAGACACAGCTCAGATCACAGAAACGGGACAGATGTGAAAGCTCAGGCACAGAGCATGTCTCTCATAGTATCTATCTTCTCCCCATGGCTGGGCCCCTTTTTTTTCGTTTTCTTGTTTTGGGTCGCAACACAAACGCTAAAAAAAAAACGAGAGTAGAGAGGGAAGGCGGAGGTTCGCTGCACGGAATAAAACTGTCTAACCAAGAACAAAGCAAAGTGTCTTAGAGAAAACGTGAGAAACGGGGCCAACAAGTGGTGAATAACGTCGGTGAGGAATATCACAGTCGTTACACAAAGCATGGGCCCTGTTAACTTTTGGCACCTGCAGAGAAGTATGTCTTGCATTGACGATATTTTTTGCCCACTAAGCTAAGACATTTTTCAGTCGTATGTGCTGCGGCTGATTCAGATACAGGAAACATAAAAAATCACGAGTATGTAGAGAGTTTCATAAAAAGGACGAGATGCGGAAGAGCTACAATGGCTCATCAACAGCTTTTGGTTATAAAAAACCTGATACAGGGAAAAAAAAAAAAAAAAAAAAAGGGGGGGGGGGGGGGGGAGGGGGGTCGGTTCACAGCAGGGATATGGCCTTCTAAGTGTGCCATTCCAGAAAATTTTGGGCTTAGATTAGGATATGTCATAAAAAACGAGAAAGAGAACTGTGAGAGAGGGAAGAAAAGTGGTCAGTTACGAGGTGCTTGTGTTTTGCTCTGGTTTTGTTTAGGGCGCAAGGGACTGTGCATTTATCTCTTTACTCACTTCGTTGCATCGGGTAGATGGGCAGATAAGCAGATAAGTCTAGTTAGCCACCAACTTGTTCTTGGTGTACCTCTAGGGTATCGCCATCGGCCATATCGAGCTGCAGATAAAATCAATTAGCAACAGGTAACCGGGAAAAAAAGAAAGTTCCAAAACCTCGCTGGGTGAATGCGCCAACCCATGCGGAGGGTTTTTTGTATGTGAGAAACTCACAGTATCTGGTGTGTCATCCTGTCGGACCCGAGTTCCATCAAACAGAAAGCGCACTGCCGAGATATCTTTGCCTTGTCGCGTGCAGAACGCTTCCATTAGTTTTTTGAGTTGTGTCGTGCGCTTGATCTTAAAGAAAACCTCATTGTTGTTGTCGGTCACTTTGATATTCAGGTGTTCTGTTGGAGGGGGCGCCGTTGTGGCCTGATTATCTTGTGGTGGCTGATCCATGGCTTGGTATTCAAGAGATTTGCGTCAAGAGAGTGGTAGGCGGGACCTGATATGTCTGCTGTGCTGTGCCTGTGAGAAGACCAATACATTAGCTATCGCAAACCAGAGGCGTACAAGATAGTGGTGACAATCAAAAGAAAGAACTTACAGAAGATCCTGTGAGGCGTTGTTGTTGTTATGGTGCGGGCTAGACTTGATGAGCCTGTAGTAGCTGTGAAGGGGAAGTTGAAGGTTTAATACAATAGATATGGCAAAATATATGGAACATTCCAGAGGTGCACAAGTTAGCGGAAATCAAAAGAACCTATAAAGGATCCTGGGAGGCCTGGGTTGGCGGGTGTGTTGTAGCTTCGGGTGGGCGAAAGGGTGAGTATGGGATGAGTGGGTGGTGATAAATGCGCGGCTGCCCTTCGGCGAACAGGAAAATCTATTTTGCCGCCCGGAGCCTGCGCTGTTGCCGCTGGATCAGTCAAACCTCCAGTGCAAAACAAGCGCAACAGTTGGAACATGTGATAGTTTAAGATATCAATCTGCGCAACCCAAGACGCCAACTTCAAGTGAACGAAGGGGTTGTTCGGATTCATCAGCGAGGGTCCTAAGATGGTTAGAGAAGCCCTCTATTTCAACGTGTTGATTTTATGGTTTTTGAAAGAATGCGGCTGATATCACGGTTAGGGACTGAAAGAAGACGTTGCATACGATCCACCTTGCCACCCAAGAGCAGTATGTAGAATTGTTCACTTGTGAAAAAATGCCTTTCATTCCTTATGTGTTGGTTATGCTAACTATTCTGTCCCTAATAAGTGTGCGATCCAAGGTAGAAACTTTTCCTTCTCACACATAATTCATACTAGCTCGCGGCGTTGACTAAACTGTTGATAGCATGTCTCACCAGGAACTCATATAAGGAAGAAAGATGTCAGAAACAGATAGACGCGCTATATCAATGTTGCAGCGCATTTTATGAGGCACGGGGCAAAAACGCACGAACCCCAAGTTGTCCAAAACCCGAGCTTCTGAGATTGAAGATGAAGCAACGGGAGCAGGCGAGGAACGCGAAGTGAAGATTTTTTCAGGATGATTCTGGTGGAAATTAGAATAGAAGTAGTCTGTATTTTGAAGCATGCGAAAAGGGCAGGGAACTAAGCTTTCATAGTCAGTTGATAATAAGTAACTATTAAAAATCTGTAACAATCACTCTTCTAAGTCTTCATGCTTGCCAATAAATTGGATCCAACCAGAATATGTATAGGATTGTCGAATTCAATCTAAGACGCTCGTGAGCACGCAAGAGGACCCAAGGGACCTGAACAAACACCGAATGAGCTTCCATGAAGAAGTTCGTCTGATCCGAGACTCTAATGAACGCCTATTGACATTTATTGAAGAAAAGAGAAAGGAAAAAAAAGGGCAACCATGCGACAGAGTTTTTATGTGAGGTCGGAGGGCGGCTAGTCCCATTTAGGACTAGTTATTTTCGCTTTGCGGTCGCAGAAAGGAAAAAGGTTTATGAGCGACTTGAAGCTAACCTTCAAGATCCTGTTATTTGTTTACCAGGACAATTGAGCTCCACGCTTGTTCTGCTGCCTACGCTCTATTGAACCCAGCGGTTTGTCAACGAGGCCATGGCGCCGTTGACGTATTCGTCCGGATTCCCTCTGAGCCAGCACAATGGATCTGCTGCTGTGAGTACAGTACTGCCTATGCACTTGCGATCCCATATTGATGTTGGCTAACACACCCAGACTACCCAAGCTCCAACTAGCCGCCTCCATGATGTGGAAATAATAGAAATCGATGATGACGATGAAGAGGAAGAGGAGGAAGACAGCTTAGAAGATGAATTGGAGGATGAGGACGAGGAAGAGGAGGATGAAGAAGAGGATGAAGAAGAGGATGAAGAAGATGACGAGGACGGAGAAGAGGACGAAGAAATGACTGGGACGGATTCTATGGAAGAGAGAAGTTCTGATTTTGAAGAGAGTGATCAAGGTTCGTGTACTCCTTTAATTTAAAGGTCTGACAAAAAACAGTTGGATACATGTATTCTGTGCTAATCTATGACAACTAGATGCCATAACGATTTCCTCCGGCCCAGCTTCCCCGGGCCTACTAACAACTTCCGATATACAACAAGTTCTCAACCCACTTCGAAACACAGCAGACCGCGTGACAAGCCAAATCGAAGCCTTTGCCCAGAGCTTAAACCAGTTCAAACAGCATGCTCGCGGCGCGCGTCCAGGCGACCCAGAGACATTTCGTGAAGCTTGCAGATTGGTCCAGAAATATCAAAAGATTGCGGAGACAGCCGCAAAGGAGATTTCAAGGAACAATAACCTTCGAAAAGTAAAACAATCAGCAATTAATCGAGGCACGGGAGCTAGTCAAGGCCCCAATCGTGGGAAACTGGATGAGCAACTCAGGCGTTGGGAGTTGGAAGCTGAAACTTGGGAGTTATTTTTTCATATGCTCTCCATTGACGACCCTGAGTCACGCACCCGAGCACAAAGAGCTCAACAAACTGTCTTACAATCGCTCCATCGATACTCTTCCGACAAGGATGTTTGGGATAAGTTCCTCGAAGCGGACCGCTTTTCATTAGAGAACGTCGTTGTATTAAAATGGCTAGAGAAAACAGCAAGATCATCGCCCCAAGATATCGATGGGTTGATTTCGGAATTGGAAACCCAAGCTGAAAGAGGTCAGGGGCTGTGGGCCCATGGCTGGCTCTACACGAAAGAAGCAATCAAAGGCGCAAAACGACTACGATCGTGGCCACAGCCGCTAGAGCCTGATGATCCAGGGCTGACGATGTCACTGCTGAGTGTAGAGAAACAAGAACCCCTTGTCACTCAGTTGGATCCTGATGCTGTCACCCGGCAACAGCATGGACTTCAGAAACAAGATCAGTTCTATGAGCAAGCGGCTTGGTTAACATGTTGGAAGATGCTGAGGCAGGGCCAAAGCTGGAAAAAGATTCAAGAGTGGTCTCATGAACGATTAGAGAACTGGAGGGCGATCAGTGTTTGCGGCACCCCTGCTGAGGATGAAAATAATGCTGCAGATTCTGGTCTCACTCGACTGATGAGCTGCCGATCCCAGGAGGCATGGAGAAGCGCGTGCCTAGCCCTTGCTAACAATCCTGTAACTAGCAACTTTGAGAAGGCTGTATACGCGCTTATCTGTGGTGAAGCTGAGCCAGCTTACGCTATTTGCCAGGGTTGGGGTGACTACATCTATGTGTTTTTTAATCGCTCAATCCTCGCGCGGTACAGAGAATTTTGCAAGCAATTTCATCGGAAATTGAGCTTCTCTCCCACAACAGATATGGTTTTGTCCCTTGATCCTCCAGCATACGACAACATTCTCACCTTTCTGGATAATGTTAGGCGGAACGACAGAACTGCCGTTGAGGCTAGGAACCCATACCGTACTATCCAAGCAGCCATCCTGAGCAAAAATTACAACTCATTCTTTTTCCACCAAGCGAACGCTGTCTCAAAGGCTGCTAGTCTATCCAACAAAGCAACTCTCGTTCCGAAAACTGTCATTGCCAATGTTGATGATGCTTCCCTGATTGCAGCTCGAGATGAGGATGCTATTCGTATCATCAGCCACTTGTTTCTCGTTTTACAATCCCTTGGATATGTCCGTTCTGACTCACATTTTGTTCAAACTGCAACAGTCAATGTTATTGGCTACATCAACCTCCTCCGCAAAGCGGGCAAACTCGAGCTCATCCCGCTCTATGCGTCGCTACTTCCGGAGAATACCGCACACATGGTACTTGGAAACGTGTTGATTGATATTGTTGAGCCTGAGGACCGGGAGAGGCAGGTAACGATAATGAGGAGGCTAAATATCAACCTTTCAGCCATCATCGAGTGCCAGTGGCAATTAGTAACTTCCCAAGCCGATGCAAAGGAAGATAAAACGACTACTATTCGATTGAAGAGGAGTGTTATTCATCAAGCAAAGGGGCCAGGCAGAATCGGGCCTATAAAGAAGAATCTCATTGGCCGCCGCATTTCGCACGAAGACGAATATCTGATTCGCTGTTTGGAATGGCATCGCTATGCGGATGATCAATTGCCAAACATCTGCCCGAGAGGTACACATTTATACAAAAGATTTATGGGTAAGACATCCTCGTTAGAAGTCTCCGGGTTCTTTAAAAAAAGGAATTCAAAGCTAATGTAGAACGAATTTTTTTTAAAAAAAAGGTGCTGGGCGTCTTGCTGCAGCTCGCGAGCTTTTTAATCGTGTTCGCGTCGACATGGTCCCGGGCGACATTACGGGATTAGGCCACTCACCTTTTCAAATTTTGGCAAATGGCTCCGAAAATGGATTCGATGAACCTACCAGCCCAATGAAATCAAGCCCGACGAAGAGCCCTCTGAAATCAGGCATCCCGAGACGACGCCCATTATCGAGCAATCTCAGAGCAGAGCTATATCTGCAATCGCATACAATGCGTGATTTGGAATGCCTCATCGCGGCATTCGATGCTTTGGAGACGTGGGCCGGACAGATGGATCAATATGAACAGTAAGGATCTAATGCACACCACAAAACCCCCATTTATCTGTTTTATATCTTTCCTCCATTCTAACTTTTCCACTATAGTCTCTCTGATAAGCAGCAAACAAAAGAGTTCCGGAAAACGTTACAGGCAACGATAGACACGATCACAGAACGTATCGAACCCCTCTGCGGTGATTGGCTATCTTACCCAACAGATGGTAAGTAAAAATGAATGCCCACTTTTACTTCCAATTAACCTCATCATTTTAAACTTAACTCGATACTAACCATTTTTGACCTTGGTAATATTTAGACCTGGAAGCAACCGAGCTCGAATTCATAAAATCAACATATCTGCCAGAAGTCATCCTGGCATACCACAGCGCACTTTTCTTCGCAGGCCACACGATTGGGCGCGAGGTCCTCACTCAGTGCATGATGCTTTCCTCCGTCGTAGCCTCATCGCCATCGCTCAC